ACCTAGAAAGACAAAGTCATTCGATAGCTATTGAATATAGGATTGGAAAAGCTTAAATAAAATAGATAGCCCTTTACTTTAGAGATAGGTGCGGCACCGGACTGGGGCATGGTCTCTTGCCTGTATCTTCTCTTCTCTTTCCTGTTAAATGGAAGATTTAGGCTCAAAAGAAGGAAAGGAGGCCCTTTTGATTGAAGCTACCATTCTTCCGGGGATACTACTATTTGATCAATGATCATCATGTTGTAGAACTTGGATCTAGTTTCATTTATTTCAATTATTAGGCGCCCAAGTTTAAATGCATGGTCTCATGTATTCTCTGGAGTTGATGACTTTTGTGATAAAATGGAGTATAATTCATTCACTTACATTTTTTTTTCAGTCTTTCAACCTAAGACCTACAGTCACTGCAAGACCAACTGTTATTTCCGGTCCCACTACAAATGTCCAAGTCACCGCAATTTTGCAGAAAGCAAACGCAATCCGCCAGGTCTCCAATTGTTTCTCTTTCACTTTTTCCTCGTATTTCTTTTTTCCCTATTTTGTTCTCTTATGAATGACAACCTGGTTAACACTTTTGAAACTTGTTCAGGCTGTTGGGAGTGATGATGATGATAACTGGAGTGACAACTAATTATTTTGGAATATGGATGCAAAGGATAATCCGAAGTTCTCCGGGTCTCAGGTTTTCAAATTTGGGTGAGGCTGTTTGATTGTGTATTATCCTTGTTTCTTCTTGTAATTAGTTACTGGGGCCTATCTTGTTTCTGATAGTGATTACTCGCATTCATTTCTGGAATTGTTAATGTTTTGAACATGTATTTAGTTGAATCAAGATGCAAGGTAATTTACAACATTGAGGCAATGACTCGTGCATAATGCATGATAATACAACTTGATATAGATAAATTGTTCAGCGTCCGATAAGTTAGTCCATGTGTCTAAGGAATCGTTTCATTTTGGCCGTTAAAAAGAAGGAAAAGTTGGAGTCTTCGGTCGTCTTTAGAATAAGGATATTGCCAATTTATGAAGCAAATAAAGAATGATCGCAATAGTTTGGCCGTCTGTCTCTGTCTTGCGTAAAGTATAATCTCAAGGCAATTGTCAGCGGCAGCAAAATCAGGGAGGTGCAGTGCCGTGTGATTCCCTCAATAGTAACTGCTTTACATTCAAATTTCATTTTAATAACGGTGTTGAGTGTATTCAAGACAAGGCTAATGGTTAGAATATTGGGTTTTCGGATTTCGCTTAATGTGGCATATGGCAGTATGTTTTGCTCATTCAATTTAAATTTGCTTATTTTAATGCCAAAAATCAAGGGATAAGAATCCACCTCAAAAGAATAAGAAAGAACTAATATTATTTTGGGTAAATTACAATTTAGTAATTGAATTTTACTCTATTTATTTCACTCACCGTGCTTTTATTTTTTTCAATTTAATAACTGAACTTTATACATTGATTTTTTTTCACTGCTATTTTCCATCTGACTCTGTTATGATATGGCAATTTTTTTTTATCATTTTTAACCAATTATTAATATTATTTATATTTTTTTTTATTAACCCCCATTTGTCGCTCACCTTCCCCTTCATTTGTTGCTCACCTACAAAAGTCTAACTAGATGATTTGTACGAGTACAAAGACCTGTCGTTAACTGAACTTATTCCGATGGAATTAGAGATATTCTCTTAAGAGTTGAAGCTTCTTTCCCTCCCACACATTCTCTTCCTTCCATTTCCTTCTCTTCCCCTCGTACACTTTCATCGAATAAAAACTGGAATTGGAGTACGTAAACAAAAGTGCATAAAGTTAAATGAACGGTTAAAAAAATTTAGCTACCTTGGTTAATTAGTTCCAGTAGTTCGTTACACGGAAGCATGGATGGAGCTTTTGCGATTTGTCCATCTGCCACTGTTTAGAAGTTTGTGATAGCCGAAGAATTGGGTTCCACTCCTTTATTGCTTTGGCATGCGAGCCTGAAGCCTTTTCTTCCATGCGCCCAATGCAATAAAGAAGCTTTTACGTGATTAAACAAAGCAATTAAGTAATGTGGATCAACTTTCTTTATCAGTTCATTTTACTCAACCAACTTCACATTTGTCATCAATAACATTCAGAATTGCATTATTTTACCAATCACCCCCATTCTAAACCAAAATATCTTACAAAATTGATTAGACCACTGTCTTTTATTATATTTATATGCCTAACTTATATTAATTTTTATTGACCACCAATTAATCTAATAAGATGATGTATAAATTTAAAAAAATGAGCATTTATTTTGAGAAAAAGTTTACTATGAGAGATTATTAGAGTTTATTGTGTTATAAATATACGAGAATATCAATGAATTATGATAATGACCAACATCTATAAATAATTTAAAAAATAAATTTGAAAATCAAATTTCTCTTCTTGTTCATTTGTCGGAAAGAGAGAATTTCTTTTGATGGGTTTAATATTTAAATTAAATTTATGTTCCTTTTGAATATTACAAATTAAAAAATGTTTTTAATTTGAATATTTGTAGAATAATTATTCTTTAAATATGTCAAATTAAAAGGTTTTTGTTACCTATTTAATTTTGAATATTAAAGATAATTATATCCTTTTGAATAATTCAAATTAAAATAATATCTATTTAAGTTTAAATAGTAAAAATAGTTTATATCTTTTGAATATTTTAAATTAAAATATATTATTATCTGCTTAATTTTGAATATTAAAAGATATATAATTTTCTATATCTTATGATTCAATATCTTTTACTTTCTTGAAAATATTTGCCCTCCATAGTTTTCTGGTGATAGATAAGGTAAAAATAGTTTGTGATCTCTACAATTGCACTATTGTAGCTGATCATCTAGTTGTTGTATCCTGGAAGACAAATGACCAACGATCTCGAATACTAAAGGAGTGATCGATCGAAAATATGTCTTAAGAAAATTGTATAGTGAGAGGCCTCAACTGTTTCGATCAAAAGATCAATCAAGAAAAGAGTATTTCTTTCAAGTTATTTTATTTATTATAAGAAGTTTAATCTGGTTTGTTTTATCTTCTCATGTTTGATTATGGTCTCGAATTGTTATAATTTTTACAATCCTAAGACATGGTAAACTCATTCTCTATTATTCATTATTTATAATAATATTTGATCATTATTATCATTATTATTTATCTATATTATTCTCTGATTAACGATTTTTGTCCAACACCATTTGCTCTTGCCATGGTCTGTTCATCATCATTAAGAGGCCAGTACATGTTGACATTTGTTTCCTTTTGTCAATTTGGCATATTTCCTTTATATAATTATATTACTTTAAAAAAATATTTAAAATTTAAATTTTAATGTTACGAATAAAACAAGTTGAATTAAGTTGTTTGAAATTTATTCTCATCAAATCCACACCCGCTCATGCGGGTACATTTCAAATCTATCCTCACACCCACTACCTAACTAGAGACGTATCCGGCTAGACCCGCTTGACGCCATATATCTTATACAATATTAAGATTTATAAATTAATCTCTAAAATTATACTTAAATTTATAATGATCTAAAATTTAATGGGTATTTAGTGGGCGGACGGATGCGGGGCGGGTAAGGTCTCAAGCCTATCACCCACCCACTACCCACGATGTGTACTACTTTCTAAATCCACACCCGCCCACTATCCACTAAAGTTATACCCATCTCTGCCCAAATTGAAACAAATACGGTACAGAATCCACGAAATTATACCCATTTGACATCTCTGAGTGCAAAGCATCGAAAAGGAAAAGTGCATCTTTTTAATTACACTTTCTTTTTTCCAACTAAAATAAACAAAATTTTTTTTTAAACATTATAGAATTGGATATGGTGATGGTAATGAGGCAGCTTTGCATTAATGATTCCTTTATTAAAGGAAGCATTAAACAAACTAACTATTTAATTAGCCTACTTTAATTCCACATCGAAAAGCTATTTGCAACAAAATTATCACTAAAACTTTCAAAATCCATCGAAACCCGAAAAAGATAGGATGCAAAAGGCGACTGTAATTCCATTTATATATCTTTAAAATTTTGTTTAAAAAGTCACCAAATAATTATAATTAGTGAATTTTATTAAATAAGTATAATTTAAATCTTGTATTATTCTTAAAAGAAAGAATAAGCACCTAAAAGTATCTTTCATTTATTATCAAAACATTTTTAATTATATATGATGCATCATATTGTCACAAAAAGAGAAGAAAAATTCTTCAAGAGAACCAAGTTCTTATGCTTTATTAAAGAACCAATGTCAAATTGATGTGCAATGCATCCATCATTTCATGCAACAAGTGGAATCCTTTCTATTCTTTTTATTTGGCATGCAGTTTATATAATCTCTTTTTCTTTAAACATATATATCCATGAAAAGTAAAAATATTAATTAAACCAAAGAAATTGTAGATTTCAAACCCAATATTAGAAATATAGTTAATTACACACAATAATTTTTTAAGTTTTAAAAATTATTATAATTATGTAAAATAATTATTCAAATTAGACAATTTTAAAATTGAAAAATAAAACCTCATTGGCCATTGCCATTAGAACCAAAACTTTACCTCTTTATTTATGGACCGATTCTCCATCATTTGGACGCTCTGTACGCAAACCTACTTGGATTGGACTCACTTTTGGATATTATGCATAAGAATTACGAGTCATGAGTGCATGTACACAGTGCACTAGTTAAAATTTATTCAATTAGTAATTTAAAATTAATTTTAAACTGAAAGCATCATATTCAAGCAATTTAAGAAAACAAATTGTGATAGTTATCGTGTGGGACTAATATATTTGTGGATGAGTTGGAGTAATGATTTGGAGAAAAAGCTCATCATCAGCTTTTCCACGCCACTATTCTATGGCGTTGGCGGCTACTTCCATCACATGCCTTGCTCTTTTTTTCCTTCAAGCACCCTTTCCTATCCCTTTCTTCCCATATATACTCATAACACCCCTTCGCCCCAAACCAAACAAAACTCTCACTTCTTTTGTCGTCCCTTATTTCTGTCGCTTTCTGTAAATGGTGATGGCTAGCCAACTAGGGCAGGGGATCAAGCTATTTGGGGCAACGATTACGTTGCATGGAAGACAAGTAAAAGAGGAACACGACCAAGCTGACAGTCCAACGCTCCACAATAGGCCTGACAAGATCATACCTTGTCCTAGATGCAAGAGCATGGAGACCAAATTTTGTTACTTCAATAACTACAACGTCAATCAGCCTAGACATTTCTGTAAAGGTTGCCAGAGGTACTGGACGGCTGGTGGTGCTCTTCGGAACGTTCCGGTGGGGGCTGGTCGCCGTAAAGCCAAGCCAGTACCGGGTATTGGCCTTGCTGGGTTTCCGGAGGGGAGCTTGCATGACGGGTCTTTTGGGGTGCACCACCAGTTTGAGTTGGAGGGGATGATGTTGGATGAGTGGCGATTGACAGCAGCAAATGGTGGTTTACGGTAAGTTTCCCCGATAAAGCGGAGGCGAATAAGTTGCTCAGGTGGTCAACCTTATTGATCTCTTTCATTTTATTTTTTATTTTGTGTGAGCAGAAGTTTCAACGAAGATTAGAAAATTGAATGGATTATATTATGCTTATAGACTAATATAGATACATGCTGGTCTCTGAAGAGTTTTCAAGTCTCCTACTGTTAATAAAAGAATCAATAAGATCAAATTAGATGGTAGCATAGGGAGAATCATTGATTAATAAAATCTTGGATTGAAATTTAATTAGGGAAATGTGGTATTGGCAGATGATGGGGATTCACGTGGGATGTCAGTTGGGACACAATCAACCCACTAGTGAGGAGTCCATCATCCAATTTCATTGATCCAAATCAGCTATGGAAGCCACATGGATACGAAAGTGAAACCATCACCAGTATCGGCATCAGAATCATCTTTGATTAAGCTCATGCCAAATTTTAACGGATAAGATGGGAGGAGGTAGATTCTTCGAACAAAGGGCTAATTGCTTCAAACACTTCAGCTAGTGTAAATGGATACGTTTACATTTAGGGTCAATGTCCCATAAAACTTTAATCTTATCAAATCGTATTCATTAGTGATTTTGGTATAAAAAAGCAAACTAAAATCAAGACTATATATACTACTTACAGATGTTGCGGTAGGGAAAACAGATGCCTTGAGCTTATAGGATTAGGCGTCTTATCACTCAGATTAGTGGAGATAGTGTCTTTAAGCTTAAACAAGTGCATTGACCGAGCATGTAGCTTGAGAAAGAACAAGAATAACATTTCTACACACTTCTATTTCTTTATATCTGTTTTGTCAAATAAAGTACCCTACTGACAAGATTCCTGCCAAGTGCATGGCTGAAATCACAGTAGAAAGTGTAGAGAATTTTGGATTAAAAAAACCCAATGAATTGTCATATGCCCACAAGGTTTTCATGTTTCGGACAAAGCAAAGGAAGAACATATGAAACAAAAACAAAGAAATAGAAGGGGTTTCAAATCTCACTGCTGCAGACTAATATCTAAACTAATCAAAGTTAGCCCCAATTTCTTCCTTCATGTTCGCTTAGTTGCCGGGCTTATCCCCTGGAGCTGCTGAGCTGTCGCCTTGAGACCTGATTAAACCAATCAACGAAGATTAATTAGATTCAATAATAAAGAGCAAATGAACAACACATTATTGCAGGGAATTTTTCGATAATTTACAGGAAAATTTTGCAACATGTCCAGAACATATATATTAGGCTTTGAGAGGTTGAAAACCAGAATGCTGAAACCTTTTTGGTTGGGCTGGACATGAAATTAAACCGTTCCAGAATTTGAGTGGTTATTGAAGGGAAAGCCCGGTTGGAATGGGTAAATGTACGTACTGAAGAATTCCCAACCAATGAGGTTACAAACAATGGAATCCAATGCTGGAAAATGGAAAACCAATATTCTTTAATTCACCCGTTGACCACCGTAGACTAGAATTAGAAGCTCAAGTTATGGTTTAGAAATCAAGAACTTCCAGGACCAGTATGTATTATAGGAAATGCTAGCTAGAAATACTACGAAAGTCAAGATTAGAGATGCCAAAAAATAGAAACCATTTGAATCACTACCATGTAAGACAAACAATAACAAGAGCTCAACAAAGAAGAAATTAATCAAGATTACTTTGAAGATGATAAAAAGAAAGCAAGATTACTGAGTTGCAGGAGAGAGCCAAGTCCCATTTTGCCATTCAAGATGTCGCCTAACTTTAAAGAAAGGACAATGCGCTTCGTTCCCATTACAATCCAACTTCACGTAGTAGTTGGGGTCAACTCTTTTTGTGACGGTTCCAACCCTCCAAGCTTTGTCGACAAAGGCATCAATCCTGTGAGAAACCACGAAATCGAAGTAAGAACTATCAGGGGGCCAAGGCCGGACTTCATCGGCGCCAACGACTTCGGTGAGCAAACGTGTTCCGTCGGGGATTAAACGGGTCTCGTAACGTACCAAGTATCTGGTTCTTCCTACCGCAGCTAGGAGAGCTGCCGAGTAATAGACGCACGAGGACCCCTCTTCCTTCCTGCATATCTCCACCCAGTCGTTGATGTTGAAAGCCATTGCTGTACAGCTTTCAAGAAGGAGAGACGATGGGTTTCAAGAGGGGGTTAAGGCCGCAACAAAGTGATGTGTTAACTGTCGAGAGGATCCTGAAAATGGGAAGATCACAGTTACTAAAGAAGTGACAATTGGAATCTTGAAAGCTATGTATGGGGAAATTCTTTTTATATGAAAACCAACGGTTTTAACCCTTTGTTTTTATACAGGAATTTGGCGTCCATTGCCCCTTCCTTTTTAAGGTAAATATAAAATAATTTGCTTCAAAAACACTTTACATTAGAAACCAATGCAGTTGTTGATCATGCATAAAAAATTAACTTTAGAACTTTCCAAATTATAACCTTTATAAATTAATAATATTACTGAAATAATAATTTTCTTCGGTCTCGATTTGGGTCCCACGTTTAAATTAATAATTTTGATAAATTAATAAGATAATAATTTTTTAAAACTCTTATATAAATTTATTATCCCTTCAATATTATAAATTAATAATTCTATAAAATTACAAATATAACTATGACAACTTAGTAAAATATGATTCTATTTTTGTTTGTTTCTTCTTAAAAATTAAATCTAGTTATATTTCATATCTAACTTTCCTTATTGCATTCAAAAGTTTCGGTGTTGCATTCTCATACTGCAACAAAATAATTGTGAAGAGTTGTTGTCGCTATGAGTGATTCTTTTTTTTATGTAATTAGGTATTGAACATGACTTTTTGTTTGATTTAAATTGGTAATTAAACTTTATTTCTTGATTCAATTTGACATTTACGATTTTTTGAGATACAATTAGGTATCTTAATCTTGCCTCTTGATTTAGATTTTCCCTTGAACTTATGATTTTTTGGTCTAATTAATTATTACATTCGAAGAAAAAATATTTATATTTTATAAGATTTCAATATTATTTGAATTCATTTAAGTACTTAAACGATCTAAATATGAAATAATCTAAATTGGACCAACAACTCAAATTAATGTGCCTAATTGGACAAACATTAATTTCAAATTGAGGTACCAATTTAAATTAAGAAACCAAATTGATCTTGAAAACCTAGTTCAAGTACTAAAATGTATTTTTATTTTTATTTTTGAAACTCCAACCAATTTTCATTTAACGATCTTCTTTCATCCACGATCACTGAATTCTGAAGTTTTTAGGCATCAATTGTCTCTTTGTTTTATGGTAACCATTGAAGAATTTGCAGCTAAAATGCTTCACCAAAGCATTAAATTAGGGACCAATGCACTTGCTGATCATGCATAAAAATTGTAGTGTTTGAACATATCAAGAACTTAACAGCAGGATGGAAGATCCATACTACAAACTTCAAACTATATATGTATTTATACACTGCCATGTCTTACTCAGATTACAAATGGCAGTTGTCCCCGCAAAACTTTCCGTCCACCGTGAATTTAAGGGAAGGTTTATCGGCACGAGCTGTATAAGATGAAGAGGGCTGAGGGAAGGAAGAAGATGGCTTTGAGGATTGTTTCCGCTCTACCAATGCACTGTTTTGCTTTGCATCTCAGATAACTACTAATTAGATAACAAAGCAGGAAAAGAAAAAAAAACATTCTGAAAAAAAACTCTTATTTGATCAAAGAGGGAAGGGTGTAACAGTGAAACGGTAAAGATGTAAAAAAAAGAAAAGAAAAAAAGAAGCCATTGACAATGCACAATCCAAACATGAAATATTAGCTATTAAAATGAGAGAAAGCAGTTGAATCTCTTTCGAAAACTGGTTAACTCCAACAGTTTCATTCATATCCGTCAGCAACCTTAGCAGCATCAAGCTCTTCTGTAATGAAACAAATACATGACACTGTTAATTAAGACCATACCAGAGACACACTCAGCAGGGTGAAAAGCTTCAAATGGAAGAAGTATGATAAATTTTCGAATACATAATGTAATAATAAGGCAACGAATCATAGTCTTGCTATATTCACTGGTGCAAAATCCACAAGGTTACCTCCATCCTCTGGGATGTCAGAGGTCCATAAAGTAAGGTTGTCCCTTAAAAGCTGCATAATCAAAGTGCTATCTTTGTATGAATCCTCGCTTAGGGTATCCAACTCTGAGATATCTTCATCAAAAGCTTGCTTAGCAAGGTGACAGGCCCTGTTTTACAAGTTTAACATGTAACATGGCTTTCTAATATTATCCACAAGTAGCTCAACCAGAACATTAAGACATGGGAAAAAAACATGCATGCGTACCTTTCAGGAGAGTTCATAATTTCATAATAAAAGACAGAGAAGTTCAAGGCCAAACCCAACCGGACTGGATGCGTAGGAGGCAACTCGGCTTCTGCTGTAGTTGTTGCAGACTGCAACCAAAATAATACCCACAACTTATATCCTCAAGCTCAGCAGAAGCGATCAAGCAAATATCATTCCAGTTGCCATAATTAAATCATAGCATTAGTCTCGGAGTCAGGAAAATAAAAGACGGGAACAAAATTTTCTTCCTAAAAGAAACATTTATTCGAAGATTCTTAATAAAAACATTACACGTATTAAGGATGCCATGAACAAAGCCATTTTCCCTACATCTATTATGTTCCTTCACTTCTCCATATACTATAAGGAACATACATCAACCAACCAACCAACCAACCAACAATTCATAAGAAAAAGAGGTACATGTTCAACATTTTATAAAATCAAAATTAAACATAATTGAACTTGCCTGATATGCTTTCATGGACTGATCAGCAGTCTCTTTCCTCTCATTGCCCTCTTAAACTCCGCCATGTACCTGTAATAATCCCCTTTCCTGCAACCAAACAAACCCCAAAAATCATCAGGAAAAAAAAGAATATTAGTAGAATCAATCAACAGAGAAAACCCAATAAAAGTACACAGATTTTATAATAAAAACAGTAGACTCTTCACCGGAGCAAGAAGGGATGAGATGCTCATTGATCACACCCATAATATCTTTACAAATATTGGACGACTCCAATTCCACTTTCTGCCTATACTCTTTGATTTTCTTAACATTTTGATCATTCGCTTTGCTCTCTTCTTTTTGCTCGATCGAAGACAAGATCCTCCACGATGCCCTTCGAGCACCGATCACGTTTTTGAAGCCGACAGAGAGTAGGTTCCGTTCTTCTACGGTCAGTTCCACATCAAGCTCCCCTAGTTTTTTCATAGCAGTCATCATATCTATAACACAAAAAATCCCACAATTTTAAAATGTTAAAAGAGGAACAGAACCAAAGTCTATGACCTTATTAGTTAGATCGGACCATCAAATCGTTCAGCTTGCTCAGCGAGCTTGGCCACATAAACCAAGTTTTCACGTTCTTTGGAGAAATTCATGGCCGATAACAAGCGAGAAATGGAAAAAGGAAGGAGAAGAGATTCAGAGAGGAAGAAAGGTGATCTCTCTTTTCCCTGTTTAATTTTTTCGGTGTTGGCTAGGGAGCACCAATGGCAATAAGGGAGAACTAAGATGGGAAAATGTGGAAGCGGGGACAAGACATAATGCCCCGCCTCTATTTGGAATGTCAATTACCCACGCGAAAATAGGGCTGTGGTTGACACTCTTTATTGAATTAGCCATTGTTACGAGGTCGTTTAAAGGAGTTTGGGTTGCAATAGTTTGTCTGAGAGTGTTGGTACTTGACAAGTTAGGATAGGAAAGCCAATGATGGAGACAGGCCAACTTTTAAGTGAATTTAAAGTTTACCTTAAAAGCACAGAAACTATTCACTGTTAGAACAAGATTTAAACCCCCCAAATCTACCAGTTTGCAATAGTTTGTCCTGTGAGTGTTGGTACTTGACAAGTTAGGATAGGAAAGCCAATGATGGAGACAGGCCAACTTTTAAGTGAATTTAAAGTTTACCTTAAAAGCACAGAAACTATTCAACACTGTTAGAAACAAAGATTTAAACCCCCCAAATCTACCAGTCAATTTTTGTTGCCCAGTAAAAGGTATGGGCTTCACTGATCCGAATTAAGAAAATGGGCTTTATATCAACAATAGGCCATTTAATTTTATTTCATCATGCACTTTGTTTTATGAGTTAATATTTGATCTTTATATTAAAAATGTAAATTTATTTTTCCAAAAAATATTAATTATACATCATAATTTGATTTGTCAATAATATATAGATTTACAAGATCAATACATCAAATATAAACTTGGTTGGACAGACCAGCACAGTACATTATACATTCAATTAAAGGCAAGTTGAGAGTAGTTGGTTATGGAACTTGTATATATATATATATATATATTGAAAGGAAAATGAGATTTGTTAGATACCAATTGCATCAACCAGTACATCATTTTTAATGCAGTTAGGTTCATCATGATAGAATCAAATCGAAAAGGATCTTGACAAAGCCCATTGAGCAAGAGAGTGTGCAATCCTATTTGCCGCTCTATTAACGTACATAACTTTGATAAAGGGGTGCCTTGTGAGATCTTCCTTAGCTTCTTTTAGTATTACTCCTATCACGGACAAATCGTTTTGTTGGTTTGTAAGCCGATTGACGATAGAGATAGTGTCACCTTCAACGATTACCTTATCCCACGCATTCTCAATTGCCATACGAATATCATAGGTGAAGGCCATAGCTTCGGCTGATTCCGCTGAGTGGATGCCTTCTAGTTCACGTGCGCAGCCTTCAATCACCATTCTGTTTCTGTCACGAGCAACGATCCCTACTGCAGCTTACTTGAATATATGATAAACTTGATATGGATCTTCTTGATCAGATGTTAGATTGGTTGAGTGGATGGCAAAGTCATGGAGAATCTTATTTGAATGTGATTCGGTCATACTGTGAAGATTAGTTGCAGAGTTAAAAAAAACATTTTAAATGCGATAAAAATGTATTTAAATAGATATTGATATAATTCTTCATCTTCAACGCACAAAATTTAAGCAGCTCTTTCAAGGGAAATTCAACGCTCAAATACAAGTTTATATTTACACACAAACATATGTATATATGTATACGATTACATCACATTATGGAGCAAGCATGGGGATTTTCATCGCTGAAGATGGAGCTGGCTTGTTCATCAACAAGAGTAGAATAAGGCGGTGGCTGATAGTAACCATGGTCATGTCCGTCATACCCATGCTTGTAGTAGTTGTAGGATGAAGAACGGCCAGTTGCATTGTAAGTAATCATGGGTTGTCTCTCATAGTATTCGTAGTAAAATTGGTTCTCAGGTCCGTACGGATACGGCCACAGCTCAGCTCTCCTTCCACCTTTTCTCACTTTTTTCAACATCTTCTTCTGGTCTGCCGCTGCCCAACCCATGACTGTTACCTTTTGCATCCCCATATCTACCTCTACACTGTCCACTCCTGAAACAAATTAAGTCATTCACATTAACATCGTTAGTGTTTTAATATAAATAATCATCATTAGTGCTATAATATCATGCATGAAGTTGAAAGTTTGACGTACCCTTGAGTTTTCCAAGTTCCTTCTTTATCTTGGTGGCGCAGCCCTGGCAGTCCATACGTACTCTCATCTCTATCATCTGCAGAGAAAGAAGACCAAAAAGTTCAACCATACAAGTAATTAGGCAATAGTTTGGTATTGAAATGATTCTTTTTTCTTTGCTAATGTGTTATATATGAAAAACGAAAGAAACTAAACTAACCCCCATGTTGAGTATCTGTGGTCTTTGTCTTTTAGAACAGAAACTTGATAGATGAAAAATGAGAGCCGTGGGGACGTACTTATTTATAGGGAAGGCCAGCACGTAAAATGCTTCTTGGGGACCAAGCTTTGTAGAAAAAGCTTGGTAACTGCTTGGATTTTTTTTATAAGGTGCTAAATATTTCGCAAACCTAACTGTATGAGTAATTTCATTTCAATTTAATAGAGTAATATTTATATAGCCAACCAGCTTCATAAACATTAGTCAAACACTGTATCGGGAAGATTCTCCGTCGTTGCCTTATCATTTTAAGTACAACAAGTAAATATACCGAGTTAAGAAATGATTGATTTTGTTAGCAAATACAGTAATTCAAGCCGCAATCCCTTTTGAGACTCTCCTGAATCTGAGTAAATCAGTTACTTGAAGATATTGCTAATTGTTGCTTTCTTATAATATAGGCCTGCATGGAAATTAATTATTGTTATACGTGTGGGAGAACTAGTCAAAAACCAATACTATGCGACAACAGTTTTGTCTGATAAAAGTAGGTATATGATGAAGAAGGTTAATAGATTTCGGTGAAAGTGTTGAGTAATTTACATGACAACATCGCTGGTTCACTAAAATGTCTCTTAAATTAATATTAGCATATTCAACGTAAGTTCCTGTAATTTATTTGGAGCAGCAGGTATGGTCAACATTATCGTCCCCCACTAGTCGGCATAGTGCGAAAAGGAACGCAACTGAAAACTTTTGGGGACAAACTGTTGCTAAAACAAAAGTGACCGTTTTTAGTGTTTTAGTCAGTTTAACAATTTTACAGTTTTATTTGAAATTCGAAATTCGAAAAATAAAGAAATAAAATTCCTGAAAATAGAAGTAAGAGGACTGAATTATAAATATATGTAAAGTACATGGACTTGAAACATATTTTAACCTCATTTTCTTTAAGGCCAAATTCATCCTGTAGAATAAATTAGGCCCAGATATTTCCTTCTCATCTCCCCTCCCCCTGATTCATGGCTAAACAACAAGAGAACCCGGACAAAAACTGCAAAAACGATGTACATCAAGCAATATGTACAACTGGAACATACTAAATACTAATTACAAATCCTGACCTATTTTTCATCATTACATATTAAACATCGTTGGCATTGGTAATTGTTTATGTGATTAACTTGCAACTGGACCGTTAATGGCCGGTTTTAAGTGAAAAATCCGCACGAGTGCCATGGCTCACACAATGCAATTAACCTCGATTTCCCCTTCACTTTTGTCATTAGTGTGCTTGCAAGCGGTACAAATAGTCTCCTTACTTCATGCTCAAGGGTCACGATAGAAAGTAGTAAAATCCATTTACAATGGCAGAGAAGGAAGGAGGGATTGTGAAGAAAGGCCATGAAGAGGGAATGAAAATGGCAATAGGTCTTCTGGAAGAATTTGGGCTCCCAATGGGACTTCTCCCTCTTGTTGATGTTGTCCATGTTGGTTTCGTAAGGAGTACGGGTTACATGTGGATTGTGCAGAAAAAGAAAGTGGAACACAATTTTAAGATGATCAGCAAACTGGTGAGCTACGACACTGAAATCACTGGTTATGTTGAGCAGAAGCGTATCAAGAAGCTCAAGGGAGTTAAGGCGAAAGAGTTCATGTTATGGCCTCCGGTGAATGAGATCATATTGGATGATCCACCCACAGGCAAAATTCACTTCAAGAGCCTGGCTGGTGTAACAAAGACCTTTCCCGTTGACGCATTGCTGCCGGCCAGTAAAATGCACTGTTTTCTTCTTTGGGAGCCACCAGATTACACTAACCCTGCCCTGCCCTGCAGCTGCTATGGGTTTTTATGCTGCTTTTGTGTTTTTTTCCTTGTATGCAATTGTTTTGATATGGATTGGTGCATTTCTCATGCCAATCTTCAACCAACCAAATATATATACATATAAATAAAACGGATATGGAGGAGCATTGGGCCAGCTTCTTAATCTTCCCAGGGTAATCAACTTTTCGAAATAAACAACATATTATAGCCATTTTCATACCAGGCTATTAGACTTTTTCTGGGTAGATCTGTTCATGGTATCCATTCCAGCAAGCAAAATTTATACATATCTTTTAATAAGATTCAAACTTTGAACTTGATGTAAGCATGTTTGAAGCCAATACAAAGTTTTTACCATTAGGTTTATAAATTTTATTTATCTAATTATCTATTATACTTATTATTTTTAAAGTCAAACTGAGTTTGAGACATCAACTCTATCTGATTAATTAGACATCAACTATATTAAAAATTATTAAATTACCTTTATATAAAGTTTTTGTTTTGAGACAATTTTTTTATATAAAAATATGATTCAATCTGATCGGCACTTGGTAATTTAATATTAACTCTTTACACGGATTAAATTAATTTATTGTTATTGTCACGGACTGCGAACTTGTGGGTAAGGTCGGCTCAGAATAGACTACCCGTGGGGTCGCAACCAGCACAAGACAGGCTGCTCTCGCTGTGGTGCCGAGACTAACACCCACTAGGGTGTGACAGACGCGGCCCAGGCAACCCACAAGGGCCACGTCGAGACCAAGGCGCACACAGAGTCGAATAGGGTCAAGACACGCCCGCCCCAAACTACCTACAAACACGACCATCAAACGACAAGAGTCGCCTAGGGTCGTGACCACCGCACACCAAGATGCACTTAGAGTTGAGGCCAATGCACGACAGGTCAACCAAGGGCTCTAGCCAGCAAGCAATGGGACACACTTGGGGTCGGGGCCAACGCGCACTTGGTGTGCGCCTAGAACCGAGATGAATGCAAAAAGGGCCGCTTGGGGGCAAGGGCAGCACACATCGGGGGCACACAGGCCGATGCCTGCGTACATCGAAGGTGCACCGAGGGCCGAGGCCAACAGTGACTTAAGGCATGTCCACCTAGCAAGGCCGACCATTACTTGGAAAATAAAGCCAAGTAGCATAGTCCTTATTTGAATATGACTCAAATATTAAGTTTTAACTTAAGTAAAGAGTTTTACTTGCAGTTAGACTATGAGTAATCATGAGATGTAAGGGGACTTCATTATAAAAGGATGTCTCACCACCTCCATTGGATATAGAGAATTTGGTGTGAATAAACTCAGACATTCGGGCCAAAAACTTCCCACACACACATTTTTCAGCGATTTTCCATCGTTCTTATCGCTATAGCAACAGTAACTGAGGAGTTTAGGATGAGTTAGACGTCGAGTAACCGAGCAAGGAATCTAAGGGCCGCACAAACCAGCTAGCCGATAGTCTAGCCCCGTGTCATTATACTATTTGGGTTTTACAACGATTGGTTTATTAGAAAATATAGTTGGTCAATGAATTTTTGATTTAACGGCAAAAAGGAAGTATTGGGTAATTAGGTTCATTTCTGTATACCGAAATAATTACATAAAGTATAGATCCAGATGATAAGATATATTACTAAAGTACGAATCAAGATATTCTACTGTCTAAAGAGATGGTTGTTATCTTTAGAATTATCAGGTTTGAGTACTAGAAACTGTAAGGTTGTTTGAGTTTTTATTATCAAATGATTGTAAATCTTTAGAACATATACTATCTATAATCACCTTAAATTAATAATAAGAAGATATATTACTAAAAATATTATATATGAAATAGCATAAACTGATAAAATAATGTAAATCCAGTAGGAATGTACACATGTTTCAATTCATGTGTAATTTTTGTAAAAATATATAACAAATTAATATATTAGCCTATCCAAGATTATATCTGAATTGAATTAGAGTAATAAATAATATAAATATAAAAGAAATAATACATGACATGAACATAGTATAAAAAATAATTAAAACATAACATGATAACTAATATAAATATAATACTATGGGAGCCTATAAAAATAAATAAAATGAATTAGAATCGCTGAATTTGTAATTGAAGAACAGTTATAATTCATTTACTTCATCAAAATTTTAATTCGATTTTCAGAATCGTAACAATGACATTCAAAATTATAAATTGAGTAATAACTAAAAGTAACTGAGTGCAGACTAATAAAAAATGAAGTCTGAGAAAGGGCATCAACAGATCAGGGAATAAATTTCCAATGGGGTAAAGCAGAGGTTTAAAACTTAAACCCAAACAAATAAAGGTCCTTAATTTCATGATTTAGACTGAAATGGTATTGGAATTTGCAATCATCCCAGCCTTTTTGGATTGGAGCATACTTGACGTAATAAAGTTTGCTTTCCCAGATTGATGGTGATGCATACATATTCTGTTATGAGAAAGGATAAGATTCACAAAAAGGAGGGATTTGACTTGCACGGCTAGTGTTTCAATGATTGTTTTCATGTGGACGACCTCACTTCATCACTTGGTTTTCTCAGGCCTGCTGAGAATTCTATCAAGGAATCTTACTGTGATGGAATCTGCATGATTTTGATGGATAACCTCATTCAAATTCTGGAGGCTTTCTCTGGACCAATCAATTGAAAATGCGGCACGATATTCACAAAAGGGTATCGCAGTCGTTAGTATCTCGCTATATTCTAATCTTCTTGTCGAGCACCATGATTCACCTCAGCAAGTACTGTTACTGTTACATCCATTTTAACTTTTGATGAGTTCTCTGATCAGACTACATATAACCTTGTTTCTCAAGATTACAAGGTTTTATCTCAAATGATTATCTTCACTTTGATCCAGGTACATCTGCCATAAATCATGATTAAGAACCAAATAGTCCTGCTTAAGTTATCGTAATCTATGCCTGCATATTCCTTGTCAAACATGACATAATGAAAGCGAACTAACTGCTGTTTTGTTTTGATATGTGTTGCTTGTCAAACATGTTTTCATGTGTTTGTAGACTATCTGGACCCTCTTATGTTTGATCCCACTTTACTCCGTTGCTTGTTTCCCTTCATTCGATATCTATCTAACGTAATGTTAGAGTAAGCATTCTAATTAATCTTCCAAGTTCCAAGGAGAGAGTTTCATTACAAAATCACAAACACAAGATCCAATGAACTGACTTCTAACTATATAGAACCTCCTTGGAGATTAGTTTAGACATTTTTTACCGTGTTTAATCGTTTATTCCACTTATATTACTTGCTATGAGGTTTCATGTTATGGTTTTAAGTTTTGATTAACTGTTATCAACCTAGTTTAACAGAGTATTCCATTCTGATTCGGGATTTTAGTCTGAACATGATTTAAGGCAAGTTGAAATGGAGCAAGTACCACCAAAGCACCAGTGAGGTGGGGATATAGGGTGATGAATTGACTGGTGAGAAAATGCTGTCTATAAAACCCTCATAGCTCGTTTGATATTAGTGTGCCTATTGCATAAAGCTTCATATTCAGTTATTCACTTCCATAATCCTCGATAATCATATTTCAATGGCTACAAATGTATGCCAAAACATTTGCTTGGCCTATCTCCTTGTTTTGTCCATCTGGATATCACATGCCCACTGTCGCCCTCTAAATGAGGAACACATGGTTAAGAGACATGAGGAATGGATGGCTATGCACGGTCCGCGTCTACACGGATGCGGTCGAGCAGGAGAAACGTTATGCAATATTTAAGGAAAACGTTGAACGTATCGAAGCTTTTAATAATGGTGTGGAAAAAGGATATAAGCTAGGCGTAAACAAATTTGCAGACCTAACCAATGAGGATTTCCGTTCCCTACACACTGGTTACAGACGTGGGTCCTTTGATTCGATGATGTCGAATTCAAAACCCTCATATTTCCGCTATGGAAACGTTACCGCTGCACAAGCTGTCGTGGACTGGAGAAAAAAGGGTGCCGTGACCTCTGTCAAGGATCAAGGCACCTGCGGTGAGTGAGAATTCATTTATTTCAAGCATGTTATTAGTTTATTCCTTTATCTTAATATGACAGGTTAACATATAGTACTTGTTATATTTTGTATCAAAATATAGGATGTTGTTGGGCGTTTTCAGCAGTGGCGGCTATAGAAGGAATAACACAAATCAAGAAAGGGAAGTTAATTTCATTGTCAGAGCAGCAGCTTGTGGACTGTGATATCAATGGGGAAGACCAAGGATGTGAAGGTGGCCTCATGGACACCGCTTTTCGATTCATCAAAAGCACCCATGGCTTAACAACAGAAGCCAGCTACCCTTACCAGGGTTCAGACGGTACTTGCAAAAGGAAGGAAGCAACTCCTGCTGCAACTATAACTGGCTACGAAGATGTGCCACCTAATAACGAGAAGGCCTTGTTACAAGCAGTGGCAAAGCAACCAGTTTCCGTTGCTATAGAAGGAAGTGGGTGGTCTTTCCAGTTTTACAAGAGAGGGGTGTTCTCGGGGGAGTGTGACACTTACCTTGATCATGCCGTCACGCTAGTTGGGTATGGAACCAACTCGGATGGGACCAAATACTGGTTGGTTAAAAATTCATGGGGCACTGGCTGGGGTGAGAAAGGGTATATGAGGCTCGAGAGGGATGTTGCTGCCAAGGAAGGTCTTTGTGGCGTTGCCATGAAAGCTTCTTATCCAATTGCTTGAAAGAAGGAAATATTATTAATACTATCATATTAAGCTGCAACCTGTCAATATCAATACCATCTTATTTTGTTGAAGTGTAAAACTACTGTAAAATTTGTGTGTTGTGCTGGTAATACTTCCTGTAGGAAACTGTAAAATAAATTCAGCAATAAAGTGTTTGATTTGATGATCTGATTACTAATCAAACTCCACTTGATTATTTTGGTTATAAAACAACTATTTGCCTGTCATCACCCTGTAAGTTACTGTAAGATATAGGAGGGATTTGATAAGAGCTCCAAGTTGTTAAAAACCATGCCATATCTAATAATGAGCACTACGAGTATATAAGATTTAGATACGGGAGACTTTAAGATTATTGGTTTAGGCGTCACAAAATAAATAGTTTCATGATGAATCAAGCCCCCTTAAACCCGTCGGAAACTATACAGTAGAGTCGATCAAGATTCAGTTTATGTACAGATTTCCGTTCTCTGCATCAATCTTTAAGAGTATATGTTTCTTTCACTGTGCTGTTCTTTAGGGAGCTAAACTAAGTTATTTCGTTAATTTTCCATTTTGCTTGTTGCTTTGGCCTTACGGAACCTTGAACTGAGCTTGGAAGAATAGGAAGTATTAGGCAAAACTTAAATTGCTGATTTGAGCTTAGCCATACCACATTAAACTTTAGTTATAGTTTGGGTACTTGATTAGCGATAATAATGTAACATATAGTGGCTCCAAAACAGAGACATTCCTTGTTTAAAACTGCCGACTGCCAAGGGGTTTCTTGACCTATTAACAGAAAATCCCGTAAAGGCTAACGAACATAGGAGGATCATTACTGAAGAAACCTCTTTATTTCAAGGTATAGTACCACTGAGAACAAATGAGAAATGATCATGCAGTTGCTTTAGTAGTTCGAGTGTTAAAACTTGTTAGGGGGAAATGAACAATGAGATGGTCTGCAAGAATGGCCTACTTTTCTGATGCAATTAATGAATCTATCTGTCTACTGAACTCGTTCAGAACGCTGGTGGTATATATACGAGTAGAAAAATCGAAGGAAAGTGAAGGTTTTTCTTTTGTTTTCAACTTTCAAGACGTTTATAAAAGGTACAGAACAATAGTATTGGAGCTATACATATATAGCGTTGTTTCATATAGTTTCGTATGAATAAGCTTAACCACTTAGGGTGTTTTTTTTTTCTTTTTCCTTTGGGATACTAAGAGAGGACTATAAATGCTTCATAGACATCATCATGAGATATTGTGCATTTATCTTCAAGCAGTGGGATAAGAGGCTTCCATTGCAATACCGCAAATACCTTCTTTAGCATCAATATCTCTTTCCATTCTAATGTATCCATCCTCTCCCCAGCTAGTGCCCCATGAATTCTTCACCAACCAATACTTGGTCCCGTCATCATCTTGTCCATAGCCAACTGCAGTAACCCCATGGTCTAGGAAGGTGGTGCATTCGCCGGTGAAGACACCACTTTTGTAGTGCTGGAAGTCGGCACCACCAGCGTCAATGGCTACTGAAACTGGCTGATTGGCGACAGCTTTTAAAAGTGCCGACTCACTGTTTGAAGGAACATCTTCGTAACCGGTGATCTTAGCCACTGAGTTGGCTGATTCTTTCTTGTTACAGCTTCCATCAACTCCTTGATAGGGATAATTGGTTTCGGTAGTAAGTCCTTGTAGCTTCCATCAACTCCTTGATAGGGATAATTGGTTTCGGTAGTAAGTCCTTTGTTTGAAATGATAAATTCAAATGCATCGTCCATGAGACCACCATTGCAGCCTTGGTCTTCACCATTGACATCACAATCAACCAACTCTTGCTCTGATAGTGAGATCAATGTGCTGGTTTTGAGCTTGGTAATCCCTTCCATGGCTGCCACAGCTGAGAACGCCCAACAACATCCTATATCATCCGAACCGAAAGAAACAATTAGCATCATGGAATCTAATTATTTCAATTTCTCTACAAATTATTTTGCTTACCACATTGACCTTGGTCTTTGATCCCGGTCACGGCTCCTTTCTTTCTCCAATCCATGTTAGATGGAACTGCAGTAAAATTTTCATACCTGAAAGAAGATGTTTGTAAGCTGGAACAGTGTTGGAAGGTTGCATTTTATAACCGTTTCTCATGGCTTTAAACTCTTCATTGGTCATGTCCGTGAATTCATTAACACCTAGCTTGTATTTTTTACCGGTATCAGCATTGTGGGATTCGATATATTCCACATTTTCCTTGAATATTTGGAAACGTTTCTCCCTCTCTGTTGCATCTTGATAAACTCGGCTATAGGTAGATGCCCATTGTTCAAACTTGTGGGACATGGATACCTCATGAATAGAACGGGAAGAGGCTTGAGAAGCCCAAATTCCCAAAACAAAGAGTAAGACCAAACATTGACTTGTCGAAGCCATTTAGAGACGAGACAAATTCAGGAACAAATGCGAGTTGTGAGAGATGCTAAATCATAAGATGGATTGCGGTTTATATAGGGAGTGTTTCCCAAGCAAAAACAAACCCCTCATTCTACGTGCCCTGCAAAATGTTCCGACAGAGACTCCATGCTGGTTACTTAATAGGATTCTATTTCGTATCAATATGAAGTTCTTGGATTACATAATTCGTAGTTTGATGGAATTGTTAGAATTAGTGTATGTGACAAAATAAGGATCGAAAATATTTAGTTGACATTAAACAGAAGAATTGATGGGGGCAAGTTAGCGTGCCAAGGCTGGGTAACTGTGATTATATAATCCCTCCAAACTTGCAAGTTACGACCCTGGGACGATTTAGTCTAAATCAAACCGACAATTTTGCGTGCTATGCAAAGAGAAATCTTTTGTCCTTTCCCTACAATGGTGCCGAGGGGAACACATATTTGAAAACTCAAAACTTCTTTTATGTTAGTTGATTGAGTTTAGTTTAATTGACATTATTGTTAGTGCAGTATGCACAAATATGCGGGATCCAACATATTTGAATATTTAATCTATTTTTGTTTATGATTATAAAGAGTTTAAGGATTTGCTTGAGAAAGTAAAAAAAATAATTAGAAATTAAAAAATAAAAAGATGAAAAATTATGGGTTTTTTTTTGTTATAGAAAGCGTAAACTATTTTCATTTTCTTATAAAATATAGAAAACGTTAAAGAAAACGTGTTTGGTTGTAAAATTAAAAAATTTTTTCTAGAAAATAAAAATAAATGAAATATAAAAACATAAAAAAAGATATTTTCAACAAATTTTAACTTACACAGATTTAAATCATTCTAACAACAATTTTTTTATTTAATGTATCTAAAACTCTTAGGTGGCGTTTGGTTCGCTAGAATGTTTTTAATCTGAATCTGAAACATGTTTGGTTGGCATGAAATTGAATTGAAATACAATTCCATATTTTGTTTGGTTTGCAGACATGTCAGATGAATTTGATTTCAGTAATATAAAATGACATGATTGCCCTTCTTTTTATTGCTTAATTTTAGTTTATTTTATAACATACATGTAGCAATATATTATAAAAAATAAAAAAATATTAAATTTTAATTTTATTGATTGATTATTCATTTCAATAAATTATAAAAATCATGCTAATAAACATCATAAGTTAAAATCATCCCAATTAGGGATGGCCATGGGTCGGGTCGGTTCACGTTTTTTGTCCACCCGACCCAACCCGAGAACAAGGGAACCTCCACCCGAGACTCGACCCGACCTGAATATATGAATTAGAAACCTGACTCGAACCGAAATAATAAAAAAATATTTTTATTCAATAAAAACAGTGACTTAATTGAAAAAATTATATATAGAGGGGTATTAATGTAATCATTCTTATATATAAGGAAAATTATATATTTTTTTGGGTCGGGTATTTTTCACCCTAAACTCGAACCTGACCCGACCTGAATATCACACTTAAAAAAAATCAACCCGGCCCGACCAAAATAAAGTTTCACCCGACCCGAATATATGAATTAGAAACCCGACCCGACTCGAAATATTAAAAAATTGTTTTTATTCAATAAAAACAGTGACTTAATTGAAAAAATTATATATAGAGGGGTATTATTATAATTATTCCTAAATATATAAGCTAAAATTATATTTTTTCCGAGTCGGGTCGGGTTGGATATTTTTCACCCTATACTCGAATCCGACCCAACCCGAAACCGAATTTTAAAAAAAAAATAATCCGACCCGATCGGGTCGAGTTGGAACCCGTCAGGTCCGGGTTGAGTGGCCATCCCTAATCTCAATAAAAAAATGTTAATAAGTTACCAAAAGATTGATGAGGGTAGTATGGTCAAATTTCACATTCCCTCCAACAAGGGATTTGAATTCCATCATAGAATGGATGAAATTCACTTTCCCTCATTTGATGGAAAGTTGAAGTCATGAGGGATTCCAATTCCCTTTGAAAACTTGAACCAAACATGAGAAATTGGTGGAATTGGATTCCAATTCACCCTAATTCCAAAGAATTCTTGCGAACCAAACGCCACCTTAAACTTTTGCCAAAAAAATTAATGTGGTACATGAACTTTTTTACACTGGTCATTCTTAATAATTTAATTTTATTGTATTTTTATATTTAATGTATTGAATACATTAGGAATTATTTATATGTTATATTCTAAATTTAAATAATATCTTATTTTTTTTTAAAATTAAATAAACCCTCAAAATTTTGAAAAAATCAATTAGGCCCTTCAATTTAGCCACGGGATTCAATTAACCCACAAAAACATCGTGAATTATCACATCAGTATTGTTAGATTACCATGTAAGCTTTGTAGACTATCATGTAAGCTTTGTGACGGTTTGATTTTATTGGTCAAAAGATTATATATATATATTTCAATTTAAGGATCACATGTTACATTTATGTAATGAAGGTTTTTTAATAATTATATTTTAATTTAATTATCTAATAACTATTCACTCATCTCGATTTTAAAAATTATATATACCAAATATATTTTCATTATTTTTATTTTTGAATTTTAGTTTTCTTTTATATTAACCAAATACATTTTCTAATTTAAAAAAAAAAACTGAAAATTAAAATTATTTTATGAAAATAAAAGCAGAAAATATTTTCTAGAACCAAATATGCCATAAGTTTTTCTTTTTATTAATGTGTTCGGAAAGAGATAAAAAAAATATCTTTAAAAACTATATTATTAGAAAGTTGGACTTGGCAAGCTGAGCCCATAGTTTAAGTAAAAAATTCGAGAAATGCTTTGGACTGGATCACCTATGAATCTCTTTTACCCATGCCTTGCCAAATTCATTGCTCAATGTTCAACTTAGCAAAATAAAATTTTAATTTATTTATAGTTATAACTCACAAAAAATATTTTTAAAAAAATATTCGTAATATTTCATCTATTTTATAATTAATATTTAGAATTTATAACTATCTCCATTAATAATATTATCTCAAATATTTTAAACTTAAATTTTCAACAAAATCAAAAGTTGTCTATCCAAGAGCCTTATCGCCACGAAACTCTTTTATGCGGACGTGGTTTGATTTGGGCAGTTAATTTTGATCAATGAAGATATTGATAGTGTTGAACATATAGTAAGACCTTCATAAAAGTTGCTGCTCGCGGTGCCATTGATAGAAAATAACAGAGAAAGAATGTAATAACAAATTGAAATGAAAAATGAAAAGTATTAAGAATTGCACCGTTTATTGATCATCATAGAAAACTGTTAAAGATACTGTCAAAATTTTCGTTCGCAACTTTATCTACCACTTTCTCGAGAATCAAATAGAAACTTTGTTTTCCCTTAATGTCGTTAGGGTACAAAGGTTGTACATGTAGAGACATATACACAATTTTATGCTAGGAGACAAAACTCTAAATTTTTAGAAAGGAACGACTTTATAAAATTTAAGAAAGATAAAAATATTTTTAATAAAAATACAAAAAAAAAATATAAATTATATGATAATTTTAAAATTTTAGGAGGGGACTGCCTCATCGCCCTCTTCGGTCCATCTTTATATACATGGACGAAACTAAATGACATTCATACATGAGGTCTCCATATTTAAAGATCACATATTACATAATAAACATACAAATGAAAGGGACTAATAAAAATATATTAAAATAACTAATTTTATATGAAAGTCGTGCGCTGTAGGGCGTCTTTAGTCGATCATTAACTTTTTTAACAATATGATGAGTTACTATTTATATGATACCTAGAATAGACATGTAGTTCTTGGTGATTTGTGTCAAGTTGAGATTTAGGTTGAATAAATAACTTCATGGGTTAACACTTTGGATTGGAATGTGCTCAGACTGAATGTTTAGAAGGCTATACCAAAGTTGAAATTCTTTTTTGTTCTTTCTTAAATTGTGGGTTTGAAAAAATAGGGTTATATTTAAAGAAGGTGACATTCATGAAATTATATATTTTCCTAGTAATATATGAGTAATATATCTAATGTTTTTTTTGTTAAAAGAATACTTTAGGATAACACACTTTATTAACTTGGGATCGAGTTTGGTTTAGTTTTGTTGATGAATAACCGAAGATTTTATGTGGAATATGAGAGGAAAAGGATTTAGCATGTGAAAGGCTTGTAGTCCTCGAGATTTTTGAAATTTTAAGACTTGATTAGGCATTTTATTTATGAGATAGGTGGCAGTAAGGATGACTTCCCTATAAGTGTTTAGGCACATGATTAGTGAACATTAGTGATATAGTTACCTCCAGTATGGAGGTGTGTTAACACTTAACACAAGAACTCAAATGAATAATTCCTTTCACTTTAAAATATGAACCCAAGGTTGTTAAAAAATACTCACTACCATTATGTGTCATAAGCTAAATTAACTATTATGAACATAATCTCTCTCATAAAATATTGTCATTCACAACAAATTTAATATATTTTAATACAATAAAATAATATATCGAATTTAAAAAGTTCTTGAAATAGTAAAATAATAATTAATAATCATAACCGTATAAAATTCTTTAAAAAGTCAATAAAAACAACAACAGCAATCCAACGTGGCGATTAATTTGGTGCTGAGTAAGGTGCTGGTGGTATCTACTTCAAAGTCTTCTTAACGATACTCTTCCGATTCCGTAAAGAATAACTCAAGAAAAAAGAAAACAAAGAAGAAACGAAGCATAAGAAAGAAAAATCTTCTGAAGAAACGGCTGAGTTAGAGAGAGATTGCAAATCGAAATCGCCGTAAAAAATTGGAAAAGGGAAAGCATGATGACAAAAGAAGGGACTGGATCCATTCTTCAATTCGCGCCACTTCAGAGTTCTGTGGACGAAGGATTTTGGCACCGTTTATCTTCTTTGAAGCTCAACAAGTTTGGCATCGACGATTCTCCTATCCCTATCTCCGGTACCACTCCCTCCCGATCCCTGTTCATTTTCTTTAAGTATGAAATAAACTTCTCGATCTTAATTATCTCTAAAAATCTGATTTATTTGGCTAAATTTTCGTTTTTTACTTCATAAATTCATTACAATTAATTGCTTATTAAACTGGGTTTGATCCAAGTTTCTTTTTTAAAGGTCGCAGTTAATGCAAGAGGTTTTTCAATTTGGAAGCTTTGAGTGTAAATTTGGCGGTTTATGGTTCAAATTCGTTATCTTTTTTTTTACCCCTTCAGGTTTTTATGCACCGTGCTCCCATCCTCAAGTATCGAATCATTTGACTTTTCTCGCTGAATCCCTCCCGTCTGATTCAAATGATGAATCAGCAATGCCGCCTATTGTTCGGAGTAATCGAAATAGGTGCTCCGTTCCGGGGATTCTTTACAATACAAATACAATGGATAATTTCCAGGCTTTGGATAAACAAGGCTTGCTCAAGGCAGAAGCGATGAAGGTAAAACAGTTTGAATTATTTACTAAAGACTATAGAGAGTGTTATGCAGTTGGTTTAATTCAATTGAAATCTTGGTTGAAAAGTTTGTGTTTTATGTACTCTTAGATTTGGGAGGATATTCATAGTGGAAAAGCTGTGGAGGATTGTGCGGTATTGTCAAGGGTCCTTCTTATCTCATTTGCAGACCTGAAAAAATGGAACTTTCATTATTGGTTTGCTTTCCCTGCTCTCGCACTTGATCCTCCTGCTACCTTGTTAATTTGAGGCCAGCTTCTCAGTGGTTCACCTTGGAGGAGGTGCTCAGAATGTGGTTAACACTTGCAAATTGTTAGATTTTTGTGTCTTTTTGAGTGCTCAGAAGGTTTATTTTTGTTACTTTTTTACATGCAGGCAGAATCAGTATCAGCAGCATGTAATGAATGGCGGAATTCGAGTGCGACAGCTGGTAGTGTCTCTGCTGTTGCAAGTTCTATACTTCTTTTTATCTTACTGCACTGAAATTCAAATGTGATTATATTCCTTTTTTTTCTTTATTCATAATTTAATGCCCTTCTCAGCCTGAATATATGAGTCTACTGCAGATGTTCCATTCTTTTTGGTTACTATTGGTTCTGATTCACGCGCTGCCGCAAGGCGTCTTAATGATTTGGAAGCTTGTCAGCATGATGGTCAAAAGGTCTGTCTACCTTTCTCTTCATGTGTTTTTGGAATATGTATTGGTTTATGATTGCAGCAGAGACAATTTCAATGAAAATTCTATACGATATATGATGTCAATAGGCTAAAAGTGCAAAATCTTGGACTTCTCTTTCTCAAATATTTCGCATGTTTTATTGGCAGTTGCTATTTGCATTTTATGACCCATGTCATCTGCCGAACAATCCTGGTTGGCCTCTCCGCAACTTCCTTGCACTTATTTCTGCCAGATGGAATATGAAAACTGTTCACTTTTTGTGCTATAGAGAGAATCTAGGTTTTGCTGATTTGAATTTGTCACTTGTTGGTGAAGCCTTGATTACAGTTCAACCAGGTAGAGTGGCACAATTTTGGGTAACAGCTTATTTTCGGGATAATTTTTTAGCTGTTCCAACTTCCGGTATTATGAATTCGTTTTACACAATCTTTCTTGACCTACAATGTCTCTTTAGGATGGAGAGAACGGCAACATGTGCCCAATGCCGTAGGATGGGAACTCAACAAGGGGAGAAAAGTACCGAGGTCTATTAACCTTGCTAAATCTATGGATCCAACTAGGTAAATTTTTTTATATTGTCGCCTTATTAAGCATTATACTATTATTTATTTTTCTGCCAATGAGTCCTAAGCTTAATGGCAAAGTTGAGGCTCTGGAAACTTTGAGATCCTAGATTCATGTCCTACCATGCTGAAATACTATGGGTTCAATTCCAAATTTATTATATAGCTCAAGATCAACCATCTCTGGGCCTTGTCCAGATTATTCTGGTTTAGGCCTAAATATATTCCTATTATCAATCCGATTGTACATTGTCATAATTTATTCCATTTGTAGTTATTTGGATGCTGTGTTGTACTTGGAAAATAAAAATATTGTTTATTTTAACAAAATCATTTTGAGATCGTTCCCACTTTTTTCCACAGGCTAGCCATATCTGCTGCAGACTTAAACTTGAAACTAATGAGATGGCGTGCTTTGCCATCCCTCAACTTAGATATCTTGTATTCTCTTAAGTGCCTTCTCCTTGGAGCAGGTACCCTTGGATGTCAGGTTGCTAGAATGCTTATGGTATGTATTCAGAAAGCAGAAACCCCCAATTTTAGATATTTCATTTCTCTTGAGACTGAATACTGTGTGTTGTAGGCTTGGGGTGTCCGCAAAATTACACTACTTGATAATGGCAGGGTGGCCATGTCTAATCCACTGAGGCAGTCTCTCTATACAATGGACGACTGCCTTAATGGTGGTGATTTTAAAGCCACGGCAGCAGTGAGAAGTCTACAGCGAATATTTCCAGCAGTTGTAATTTATTTCTTTTGAGGCCTATATCACAAAGATCAACACTGAACAGAAAAATCTATCCTTATCCTCTAACCATGTGTCTTATGATTGGTTTCTTAGGAAGCAGAAGGCGTTGTTATGGCCATTCCTATGCCTGGACATCCTGTATCCAGCCAAGAGGAGAAAAGTGTGCTTGAAGATTGTAAAAGACTCAGTGATTTGATTGATTCTCATGATGTAATTTTCTTGTTGACTGATACTAGAGAGAGTCGATGGCTCCCTGCACTTCTCTGTGCCAACGCAAACAAGGTTCATCTCCTTTATCCATATATCAATTCCTTTGATGTTTGGCATTCTGTTGTGGCATCATGAATTAGTATTTGTAAAGACCTGTCTTGGATTTGAGTCATTTGACGAAGGCATATTTTGCTCATCCTTTCTTATTATGCAGATAACCATTACTGCGGCTTTAGGGTTTGACAGTTTCTTGGTTATGCGCCATGGACCCGGTCCTCTTAACTCCACCCCTAACTTGACAGCTGAAACAGAAACTTCTTTAGCTGCTGGCATAGCCAACCTTGCCCTAACAAGTAGTGACGGACGGCATAGATTGGGTTGTTACTTCTGTAATGATGTGGTTGCCCCAACAGATGTAATTTCTGGAGTTTCTAGAATGCAATAGATGCTATTATAGCAATTCTGTCTGTCCAGCTTTACCATTTATCTATGGTTGTCTGTGCAGTCAACTTCAAACCGAACATTGGATCAACAGTGTACTGTTACACGTCCCGGGCTTGCACCTATTGCTTCTGCACTGGCAGTTGAACTTTTAGTGAGCATATTGCATCACCCTAATGGGTAAATCCTTGGAATTATATGAAGAAAGTCTCTCACTGTAGTTTCTTTGGAGATTTAATAAGCCTTTAGTTCTAATCATCATGAACAAATCAGAAGTCTATGTCGCTTTGTTAACCATCCAATCATGCATGCAGGATATTTGCTGAAGCTGAGATTGCCGACTCCAACAGTGGTGGGAACTTTGAGCTACCTCTGGGTATTTTACCCCATCAGATTCGAGGTTCCCTTCCCCACTTTCAACAGATGACCCTTGTGGGGCACTCCTCAAACAGTTGCACAGCATGTTGCAGCACTGTAAGCATAGTGATTCTATAATTATAGTTTCTTTGCTTTTTTTCATTCAGTTTTCCCTCTTTTTTGTTACTAATCCGTTTAAGGTTACAGTGTGTGTATGAATCTTTCAGCAACACTGCGTTATATGAGTTCACATGGGTGGATTTCTTTTTAGTTGATATTGAGAAATTCAGAAATCGACAAATTAGTTTGATCTTGGGTAAATTCAGAGCCTACGGCACTAGGGTTTCTATCCCAGAGGGTATAATAAGAGACACATGATTACATATTCTATAGGAGATGAAGATTAATAATAAAGTGTACATTTTCTAGCATTCTCATTTAAAATTTGATTTAGCTTTGGGTTTAGTTGAGATATATTTTGCCCTAGTTTTACGTTCTGATAATTAGGAGCCAATCCTTTTTAGGTTGTGTCCGAATATCGCAAGAGGGGGATGGAATTCATACTTCAAGCAATCAACCATCCAACATATCTGGAGGATGTTACTGGACTAACAGAGTTGATGAGATCAGCAAACGCTTTCCAACTAGACTGGGATGATGAAGTCGAGGCCGCAGATGAGGAATGCATCCAACTATGAAGAGGTCGGTTGTAGTTTTACAGTTTTCATCGCAATTAACTCTTTGTTATACCTTGTTAATTTTAATGACAAACGTGGAAAAAAATGTCTATTCTCAATTTCCCATCTTCCGCTTGATTTCTGGAGAACATGAAGCGTGAAAACGTTAACGCACAAGTTGATATTGGAGCAAAAATGTTATTGCTGTTTACTTTACCTAAAATGGATTCGTATTTAATATCTGCATTTGACATGTACTTGGGGCATAGGACACGAAGTATGATCATTCAAATACATGAATAAAGCCAACATTTCTGTGTTGAACACATGGCACTTGTACGACACTAGATAACATTTTTTTAACAAATTAATTAATTTTATCCGAAAGAATGAATCTTGTACGGATGATCAACTTGTCCATTCTGTAATTGGCAAAAACATTGTCAAAATACCCTTCATTCGATCTCCGAATTCTTTTATATCATCTACCATGAGTCGTGAATATCTAACATCACAATCGACTCTTAGTTCACAAATAAAGCACTGAATTTATTAAGTCTTGGTTGATTGAGTGAGAGACGCTCACGAGTGTTTTCTTCATTCTCTTTTCGTGATTATGCAGTGACTGGATAGACTCAACAATCAAACACGACAAAGCAAATATTGCATTATTTTTAAATGTCGAAAAATGACTGCTGCACTTTTTTCGCTTGTTTGCTTCGGTTTATTGTTCCGTGATTGTGCAGTGAATTATTCTACAACCGACAGCGAACAAGAGGGAAGCAAATTTGTTGATGACAAACCTCACCCCATCAAATTCATTCATTCTCTAGTAACTAAAGTTACCTTTACATTACCCATGTTTGTTGGAGTGAGTGGCAAAGAGTTCAATATTAAAGATTTCAAATTCAAATATTGTGAATAGAAAAAAAAATATCTTCCAAATTGATACTTGACTTGGATCAACATCGAATTTTATCAGAACCTTTACTATTATTAGACCAAGAAGGATATTTTAGCAAATAAAAAAAATTACTTTTACATTTATAAGAATAAATCGGTGAAATGTCTTATCAACTTCGGTTGGTTATTTAGGTCAAAACTCAACAACCATTTCTTCTTTGGGTCCTGAAAAGTGTAGACATTTTCTGTGCTAAAACACGAGAAAGTGCAACAAATATGACCAACATGACATGGCAGAACCTGGCAGCTTAATGCTTTACCCACCACCCCATAAAATCTTATCTTTTTCACTTCAAAGGCTCATCTAATGTATTTTTCCAGAAACCCCAAAATGCAAATAATTAATACTTGACAGCTTTCTGAGAGTCTTCAGTTGAAGCCACCAGAAGAAGAAGAAGAAGAAGAAGAAGAAGAAGGAACAGTTGCTCAAATAAGACTGGAATTTTTAAAGTCTCCAGTTCTCTGGAACCTCAAAAGACTTTCAAAAAGGTCTAAGGTTATAGGTAGTGGCTTTTGCACTTTTGGATTGTGGCAAAATAGGATTTTGATTCATAACAATCAATGTTCTGTTCGATGTTTGTACATCATGGATGATATAATCATCCAACAAACTTTTCTAACCTTTTCTATTGCCATTGTTGGTTGTGGCCATTAATTTTCAAGCTACATCAGTGAGATGTGCCCATTACTCCATTATAGGCTTAGATAAAAGCTGATTTTGCAATTGCTTCCTGTCCCGTGACACTAGTTGAAAATTGACACGTGTTTTTAATTTTTCATTTTTCATTACTTTTTTTATTCATCACTGCATCCAAAATAAATTTTCACATTTTATGAATAGACCCACACATTTGAATGATGATAACCAATGTATTAACAAAATTAATAGATAAAAAAATAATGGACTGAACCCCAACCTAATAAACAATATAAGTTCTGGAAACCTTTAAAACTCATGTCATTTTAAAAGAAAAATGAAGATAATTTGATAATAAAATAGCATATAATTAACACAGAAAAAGGAAGTTTTGGTTGCTCAAAAGTTAGTTATTGGTAGTTGAAGCGCACTGACCTGAAGCATTAAAAATGATTCTTTGGATGAACATTGCTTTCTTCTAAAAATGAAGTTACCTGACAAACATAAAAAGGTCTTTTAGCCCTTCAGATAAACAGTGATCATTGACCTTTCTTATAAAACAAATGCTTTGACAGATGGCAAGATTGAAACATTTTTTCAAATAGCATATCGAGAAATTAAAAACGATGTTGCTTTCTTTTAGAGCATGTTGTAGTTCAGAACAATCTGAAGTTACAAATTCTTATGGGAGTTGAGATTGAAGATGAGTTGTGGTACACCTCATAGAAGCACCAAAGTCATGTTTTGCAGTTAAAATCTAATTACTACTGCAGAGCCAGTAGGATTGTTTGGTATGTGTATTGATATTGTTATATGCCAATGGATTATGGGGGGTGAAAAGATGGGATAGTGGAATCTGACGTTAGAATTTCAACGACATTCACCAAAGGTTTTAGAGATAAAAGGAAGCGATGGAGAGGTCAACTTTGGTGTTTCTAAGCCTAAAGTGAAGCACTAACAGATATTTATGCTCTGCACAATCTTCACCAAATTGCTATGCAAGCCTACAATTTCCGGGTCTATAAATAATTCAAGTATTTTACTCCTACATATGAATAAACTAAGTTCTGATGAACGTCTGGAAAGAGACAAGAATACGTGATTAAGAGAATCGAATTCTATAGGATCGACCAGGGAAATCCCAAAACCAACCATGCATATGAAATTATCAAATTCATTGATACAGATGATCAATATTCTTTTGCAGTAGTTGAGACTTTAAAGTTTTTTTAATTTCAAATCATGTTTCTTAGCATGGAGTCTATACAAAATATAATATATTAGTCTGCTGCTCCCTGTTCGCCCATGACTCGCATCAAACCCCACGTTAAGTTTTTTAAAAGAAATTAATATTGGCTCAAAAATCTATGGTTTTTTGGTTTGAAACGTGGAGGGGACTTTCCTAGAAAAAAGAAACACAAATGAAACAGTGTGTCAGGGTCTGGGAACTGGAAGGTTAAAGAGACAACAACTTTGTTTCCTTTGCATGTGATTTATGCTCCCTTCCCGCTGCCTTTTCTGATACAGAACCCTTTCTCTCTTGTCTCTTACTCATCCTTATATATTCTCTTCCCTCCTTTTTAATCTCTAGCAAAATCAAATTCCAAGTTCTAGACCTTTAGCTCTAGTACTATATAAACAATGATCCTTTAAAACAATTCTAAATAATTTCCCTTCTCAAACTCAGAGCATGTCTTCTACTTCACATTCTATTTGGTTACTTTCTTGTATGAAGCTTAAGTTCTTCACTAGAATCCGAAGGTTTTTACAATCCAAAGCAGCAAGGAAACTATGCGTGTCATCATCATCTGATCATTCAAACGAGTCAATAATTAAAAGCAATCGCAATGAAGAGGAAGATCGGGTTATCATAGAGAAAACTGAAAGTGAACTCGACGGTTCGGCGGCTTTGCGAAAATCGATCATGAGACTTCACTTTGGGAGCTGGGAAGAGAAAGAGATGGCTGCTAAGGCGATTGAGAAACTCGCTAAAGAAGACGTTAAGGCTAGGAAGTTGATGGCAGAGCTCGGAGTTATACAGATGCTTGTGTCCATGCTGGCCACAGAGGTGACTGGCCGCTGTCTGGCCGCCATCAAGGCCTTGATTGAGCTAGCTGACGGAACTTTTACGTAAGTTTCCTGTATCATTTAGAACTCTATTCATGTTAATTTCTTTCGAGACATGAAATGGAATTCATGTCAGCTTTCAAAGTTCGTAGTTGGTTGAAGATGATTCTTATTGATTGATATTCTTACTTAATCGTAAACGAAATTTAACATAAACATAAATGGTTGATTAGATAGCGACTTGATAAGGAGAAAGGGTCCTTGTTTTTTCTCCCGGAAGTTGTAGTTTACTTATTATGCTTCAGAAAAAAGATGCTGAAATGGAAAAGAAAGTTGTTCATAAGGCTGCTCGATACTGGACATTTTCTGCCAAGTTTTGAAATAATGGAGCTCTGTTTTTGGCACATTCCTTAGAAAAATTCATCAGGATCGGGAACAGGGGTCCTCTATGGCTTATCAAAACTAAGTATTAGTGATAATGTTTATGAACTATTAAAGAAAATGATTATAGGTGGATGCTCCTGGGTAAATATTTGCTCTTGTAAGATCACGTTAAGGACGATTTTACTACCCTTATTATCTGATTTAAAGCCTAAATCTCCATAATCAACCGCCCTACAGGCTGTACTTTGTTATAATCACATGCTTTGCATCTGCTGCACTTCCTTCAGAATTTATGGTAATGGGTAACAGTCCATGGGCTTTAGATGTTGCTTGCATAGGTGTCAAAATGGATTAAACATTAATGACAACAAAAGTGAAATAAAATTTACAGATGATTTGGCAGCATTAATACTGTCATTAAGAAAATGATCCTGAAATCCTGCGTACGGTGGCTGTCGACTGTCCACTGGATTCCCTTGATGGTAAGAGTTGGAAAGGTGACAATGATGCTACAAGACAGACAACTTTGTCTCCCAAATTAATTAATTAATTAAGAAAAATAGTAAGTATTTGTTGACCTACACCTTCCTACCCTCAACTTAAATCTCAGATTCTTATTATTTTTTAATGTTTTATTTCTCTACTAGTTAGTTCAGCTCCCACGTTTTGTTTGACTTGTAGGGATTCTCATTCCTACTTTATGCAATAATGGACCACTAATTGCTTTGTTTTTCTGCTTCAGAAACAAGGCACTAATGCTAGAGGCTGGAATATTATCAAAGTTGCCAAAGGACAATGATGTTGTAGACTACCAAACGAGGCATGAATTTGCACAACTGTTGCTACCATTATCTTCAATATCAAATGCCCATTTCTCCCTAGCTAAAACAGAGGTCCTCCAGTTTCTTATTGGCATTCTTGAGTCTGCCTCTGCCATTGAAACTAAGGACACCTGCTTAGGTGTTGTTTGTAACCTCTCTGCTGTGTTAGAAAATGCCCGTCCTTTGGTGTCTAATGGAATTGTGGGCACTCTTTTGAAGTTATCTTCGTTCAAAGAACTTTCAGAGAAAGCCCTTACAGCGCTTGGTCACTTGGTGCCGACCTCAATGGGAAAAAAGGCCAT